AAATAAAAGTGATTGAGAGAAGAGATTTTTATCAACACAAAGTTCAACCAATAGCAAGTAGGGGTAGAAATTGGCAACTAATTGTTCGATGCTCATTTGTAAGACATAATTGCTAATTTTATTCTTAGACAGATTGTGAGAAGTTGTAGATAAATATTTTAGGACCCAACACAAGTCACCTAAAATAAGTAACTAGTAAACATTTCCCAGTGATGGCCAAAACGAGACTAGTTGTTTAAGTGCAACGGCAACCTTAATTATTAACTATATTATTTACCCAACCCCGTGGTGTAAATAATATAATTAAATAATTAAATTATTCCGTAAAAGTTCAATCCGGGACAAGGTAAAAGAAGTTTAACGGTGTGTTCAGAAAGTGTTCATTTGTGTATTTAACAAACAATATGTTTATGATTGAGTACTCATAATATATATCACAAACACAACATAATTAATTTTCTGGACACAACAATCTAAATAGAACAAACTTAACAATTAAAATCAATACAAATTAAAACATTATAAGAACAATTAATTAACCAATTTCTAACCCCAAATTTATTTAGCTATACATGTTGGGAAACATAGAAATAGATGAATCCATGATCAAAGTACAAGATTTAATGAGATAAGGAAGATCAAACTTGTGGTAGATGACAATCCTTGGAGCTTTGATGCTAATCTTGATTTAATCGTGGATGAGAAAGAGATTAATTGTGGTTGAAGATGAGTTGATGATTTGGGGTTGAGAAATGAAGAGAGAAGGGAGAGGAAATGTTTCTGAGATGTTTAGAGAGAAGTTGGTCCGAGCTTATGTGTGGAGGAAGATGGATTAAGATAATATAATCATAAGATGATTAATCATTAATTGCTGGAATTTACGGAACTTGACCAGTTTATGTACAGAAACGCACAATGATGTTCCAACAACACATAGCAGTGCAGCGGTTACACGGTAGCTTTTCTGACTCTGAGGTCGCTAGGTTCAAAATCTAGCTACTTCTTTTTGTTCCATTTTTCACTGCTGGGCTGAAGTAATATATACGAACTGCCAACAAAAAAATTCAACTTGGTTCATTTAGCTCACTGGTCGAGGGTCTCCTTCTTTGACCAAATGACTAGTGTTCGAATCCTAGCCTAATTTATGCACATATGATCCAAATATCATCAAAAGTACCTGAAAATACAAAATACACGCATAACACCGCACTAATACAAATTAACGACAAATAATAAAAATATGTACAGAAGTACAACTTTAATAACTAAAATTAACAACAAACTAAGCCTAAAAAGTGTGTAAAATATAAGCATATCAAATGTAAAACAGTATTAAGCAATTTTTATATAATAAATTCTTATCTATACATTACTTATATGTGCTTTTATGATGTAGCAATCCTACTGTCCTCAACAACATCATTTCAATCCTGACTAACCATTTCCACGGGCCATGGCGTTCTTATATGCATGCGGACGTTGATCAATGCAACCGTTGGTGGAAACTGTTTCAAGTATGTTATAGGTACTTACTTTTAATTTTTATTTGACAGATTGTGAGTTTTGATGTTGATTAAGTCTTTTTTGTGTTTTCAGAGAAAGTATGAGTGGGGTGCCTACTTTGATACCAAAATGAAAAAGAAGTTCAAGTCTCGAGCCTCTGAATGGTTGAGCAAATATATTGGCAGAGCTAGGCGGGACAACAAGAAGCCGGACTGGATTGGAGATGGAGATTGGAAGGTGTTGCAAGAATATTGGGCCTCTGATGCTTTTAAGAAAAAGAGCAATGTTGGAAAGAAGAACATGAACTCTAAAGCGGGGAAGTAATCACAATATCGCGGTGGCAGGATATCGGTGACTACGCATGTTGAAAGGCTGGTGAGTTTAATTGAACTGTATTAAACTGCATTTTACCTTTTAATGAACTCCTAACTTTAATTCTATAGATGAAGGAGTTGAATAGGCCCCCCTTGAAGATTGAAGTGTTTGACAAGGTTTATGTCCCGAAATCGGGTGAACCCCCTGCACGTGTAGTTGAAACCAAGGTAAAATATATATATCAATTTGTTTTCATATTACTATATATAAAGAGTATATGTCTTAGTAATCTAGAATGAATATATTTGAACCTCCTGTCTCTTCTGACTGTGCAGCAAAAATACAATGAGATGAAAGCCCAGGCTGAATCGCAAGGGAAGTCTTACGAAGAGGATGATTCTGAGCTGTTTTGCGCGATGGTCCCGCTATACAAAGGTAGGCGGTTTGGGATGGGATCTGAAGCTGAAGCAATGTCTGACCTTGAATGTACCAGCAGGATATCGGGGCCGACTCAGATGTAAATTGATTCCCGCATCAAGGACCAACTGGAAGCCCATTTTGTGCAGCAGGAAAAACAGTGGCAAACTCAGATGGCGAACATGACTTCTGCGTTTACGGCGTACATGGAGCAAGTGCGAAGCTCGAACCCTTCTGTCCCGCTACCTGATTTCTCGTCTTTTCGTACCCCGACCTCCGCCCAAATGAATGGGCTACATGATTCGAATGAAGTGTGGCTGTCTGATCTATTTGTGTAATGAACAAACTGTTTAAATTTCTGTACTGGTTCTGGACATCTTCTGGCAATTTATTTGCCATTTCTACTTCTATTTTGGCAGTGGTTTATCTGCATGGATTGCTGTAACATAATAATGTTCTGTTAATTTGTGCTCTTTCATTTGCTCTATAATGTTTATCTTTCATTTGCTCTATATGATTCCAGTTAAATGTTTCGTTTATAATGATTTGAAAAAAAAAACTGTACACCGTACATATGTACGGTATTCGATGTACGGTGTGAATGATTTTAAAATGTGTTGCTACATATGTACGGTGTACAGTTTTTTTAAAATTAAATTTGGCACGGATTACGTCCGTTCCAAAATCCCGAATGAATTTTGGTTAAATATTTGGCACGAACTTATCCGAGCCAACAAACGGGTAAAGATTTGGGCTACCCGGTTTATTCCGTGCCAATATCCGTGCCAAGTTAAATCCGAGCCAAACTTTTGGGCGAGTAATCGGTGTAGTTGTCTCTGAAATTCCGTGCCCAATGCCGAGCGAAGAGTTGCCGCGGATGATGTTGTCCGTGCCAAAGAATTTGGCACGAGCCAGGTGCGTCGGATTTAATATCCGTGCCTAATCCGAGCCAAAAGCGATAGTCTGGGATTTTTGTGAAGCGATTTGTGCCAAAATCCGACCCAATGACGACTTTTTTTGGTAGTGTATATTAAAGAGGTTAATAATACATAAAGACGTTACAATGATTGTCATTAGGCCTTGCGAATGCTCCACTAGCTCGAGTTGTCCGTTATGGGCGGGTTGACTTGACGGTTCCGACCCGACGGTTTCACAACTTGTCATCAATGCTGGTCAGCTCAAAATAAGTAACCACCTACCTTAATATCATCATTAACCATAATAATAAACACAAATCCGTTACAACAGTCATCATTAAGCCTCTTTAACTTCTGTGGTCAGCCCTCTTTAATGCAACATAAACCGCCAAATTCTTGCTCTAACAGTGACATTAACTCAAGTTACACATGTAGAAGTAATATTATTTACATATTTACACTGATATCATTTTGTAACATAAAAACATTAGGAGTTAGAATGGTGCATTGTACTTACTTATTTTTCCCAGATTTAATCATAATGCAAAACATGATTAATTTGAATTCTTCTTTGTTAAACACGCAAAGCTATTGAGTCAAATCATTCACTAAACTAATCTAGCAAGCAACATTAGTTTCCCGTATTAGATAATGCATATTTTTTTACAGGGTCAAAATTGAATTACATATATTTCATATTTCCACTAGGCATAGTTCATATGTCTGTTTCTACTTATCTGATGTATTATAATGTATATTATATTGATTAAAAGAGACATAGAATGCAAATCATACACATAAAAGAATAAATTAGAAATAATTAAATATAAAACATGATAAAATAATGCTTAGTAATAAAAACAACGAGCTTATAAGTAAGTGTTTGGACAATCAAAACTATTTCTTCAAAAGATGAAACATTGTAAAACTAATAAAATTAAAAATCCGGTCCAACACCAATCCGGACCTGGACCGGAATTATATAGATCCGGTCTCCAATCCACCTTTTTTTGAGAATCTCGGTTCCGGTCCAGTCCGGTCTTGGACATGTGCTCAACCCTACCGGAGGCTAGGGTTTCTCTATGTCATTTTCACTCCTCTCTCTTACGAAGCAGACGGTCTTTGGAGTTATCAGTCGAGAAATGGAAGGTTTTAAAATGTACTCCCTCCGTCCCATTTAAACGTTCCCACGCGATTTACGACGTTTGACTGACCATAAAGTTAATTGATCTCTGTTATTAGTATAATTATTTTTAGTAAATAAAATTTACATATTCAGAAACTACATTAAAACCGCTACAAAGCCTGATCAAGAAAATTTAAATTTAATAAAAGTTGAATATATACTCTGTAAAATAAATGATTAAGAACAATGCAAGCTAACCAGAGAATAGTGAACGAGAACATTTAAATGGGATGTAAGGAGTACTAAAAAATCAGGAAAGACCAAGGTCAACAGGGGACAGGGGATCAGAACTAGACATATCAGGCCGGGGCCAAAACCGAACAAAATCCGGAAATACAGATACCACTATTCCAGTATAAGGCCCCATTAATTTTCTCCAAGGACGGACTGATCCGGTAAAGGAACCGGACCAGTGGCTATATACCCACATACTTTCACCAATAAAAAAAGTTTTTACTCAACCAGAGTACCAGACAGATAAACTAATAATGTTGACCATAATAAACATCAGGTATTACTCCCTCCGTCCCTTAAAACTTTGCCAACTTTCCTTTGTTAGATGTCCCACTAACTTTGACACTTTCCCTTTTAACAGTTTTAAGTAAAGAATTTGTGGTTCCAGTTAATTCTCTCCTCTGCACAAAACTCAACCACACAGTTTTTACTTTATTAATCCCAGTGCCAGTCAAACACAGTGAATAATACAAAAATGTGCGTTTTACACTTTCACTGATATGCTTGTAGCATAATATAATACGGAGTACGAGGTAGATTGCGTTTTTTCGTGATTCTTTAACATGTATTTTTCAAGAATCAAGACCAATAGTCCTATGTAGACTTAGCCTAGCATTACAAGTTACAACAACCATCCACGGAGAAGAGAATTTCAAAAAATCCCAAAAGAAAAAAGAAATCCCAAAAGAAAAACTAGTTTTTTTTAAAGAGGAAAAACTAGTTAATTATTAATTGATCAAAAATATGGATGTCTATTAGATCTTCTCATGGAGGGTGACCACCAAATCATGCGCATCATCCAGAAGCTTCCAGACATCCAAATGACCTGCCATGTTATTACACTCCCTCAATATCTCATCCATGCTACTATGCTTCTCTATGATCTGTTTCCTTCTTTGCAGAACAGAAGCGGCAATCGCATACAGCAAAAGATCCTCAGTTGGCGGGGCCCTCAACCTTATCCGGCTCCACGTGGATTTCCCTATCCCAGCCCGAATTGCGGCCTGATCCGCCCACATTACCTCCCACAGGCAGATCGTCTGATCAAACGTCAACTCCCTTCTGAAAAGCACGATAACCATTCGATACACAAAGAAGCAATCCTCCGCTTGCAGCTTCACCAGGTGTCTGTACAGATGTGAATCCTTATGTTTGATGATCTTGGAAACAATGTTCAGTTGCCTGCGAATTCCCACCTCGTCTAGTCTGAAGTTATGCCGGGCCTTCTTCATGAATCCTACGAAACACCAGAAAGCTTCAAAGTCCTCTGTTATAACGCAGATTATTGGGGAGAGAAGATCGCTCATTCCTTGGCAGTAACCAATTTCTGGGTCATACAGTGCATAGGCTTCTAGAATGGCGACTAATCTGGCGGCGTGAAAGATTCTAGTGGAGTCCAAGTGTTCGTAGTCCTTCAACCCGACCGCTTCTGCAGAACGGCGGGCCTTGTCTTCTGGTACTTGTGCGCCATTTGAGGTGGCAGGAGAGTACGTCATCCACTCCCCGTTGGACCGGATCGCATCGAGACGAATTATGCGTTGCCATGTGGCAAAATCCTCTGGACTATGGAGTTTTGACTGGACCTCCGTTGAGGGGGAATATTCTTCTTTGGAAGAGGACGTCACAGGAGTGTTGTTTTCCTCCACGGAAGGCAAGGTTAAGCCTGAGTCAGGATCTGAAGAGGAGTCTGAATCTTCTGAGGATTCAGTATCAGAGAGATAGTTCAGTTCACTTATCCGTTTGGAGCTAGAAACTCCGCTGTCGAACAATAATGCCTCCTCTGGATTGTCTGAATACTCATTGCTGGAAAGTGATTCGCGGGCACTAACGGCGTCTTCAGAGTCAGGAGACTCCATCCCACCTTGAATAAGCAGTAAATCACCGTTTCCAACATCACTTGCTCCACCTTTCAGTTTGAACATCTCATCAGTGCATTTCAATAGTCGGCGGCATTGCCTCCGCAGCTTCTCATATTCCTTTCTGTATTCAACCAATTTGAAATTGAACAGCGTAATTGATTTAAAGAATAAACATTCAATTTCCAATCCCCATCCCCATTTTCTTTTGTATGCGCGCACAAACAAATATATACCGACCCCAATATCTTTTGGGACTAAGGCTTGGATGTTGTTGTTATTGTTGTGCGCACACACAAATATATACACATACATATTATATATATATATATATATATATATATATATATATGTTTTGGTTCAAATAAGAACATGATCTTAGGAGAGAAATGAGAACGAATCTGGACCGTTAGATTTGTTTTAAGTGAAATTCAATGTGCATTAGATAAACTGTAATGTGCATTTGGTGAAATTGAAATGTGCAACACAAAGCGTACGTTACAATGTCATTATGTGAAGATGAATTGTATATTAGGTGAAATTGAAATGTGCACTAGGTGAAACTGAAATGTGCAGGATAAAAGGTACAATGTGATGTTATTTTTGTACATTTTATTCCGCACATTTCAGTTTCACCTAATGCACAATTGAGTTTAAATTTTTATTTTGCACATTTCAGTATCATCTAATACACATTTCAGTTTCATCAAATGCACATTTCCGTTCCACATACAATCCAACGGTCCAGATTCGTTCTTATTTCTCTCCTGGGAGTCCGTTCTTACCGGAACCGCTCCCTATATATATATATATATATATATATATATATATATATATATTGAAGAGAAGAAAATGCTAAAGAAATTAAAGCAGTTGGTCTACCTCAAAAAAAAATATTATACTCTGTATTTGTTTAAATTGATTTCCAAGTGATTGAGCACTTTTTTGGGAAACACTTTTAACCTATTATAGTAAATTAATGCCAACATCCTTAATTCCGTATGATGGGCCTCTAAGTTGTGAACTCTACTTTGAGAGGACAACAATAATACCATCAGACTACTTTGAAACCAATATAAGACTTGAAATATCATAAATTTTGACTTTTATATTTTAATTAATGTAAATATTCTTTAATTTGTTAAAACTTATACTTTTTCCGTGAAGGATAATTCACTGAAAATTATGCTAAAAACTAAATCAAAGGAAGCAAATTTTATGATATTTTAAGTATTACATTCATACTTTTCAATGACTCGCACTCAAAACTGATAGTTTCATAAATAGCTGACCTATCATGCGAGTCCTTGCTATAAAATTCCTTTTACTTATATATTCACATTATATAGACAGAAATCTAAAGGCATGTTAAATTTTAATAAACACTACCCTTTTTTTTACATTATCATTGGAAAAACTAAATACGTGAACATAACATTCCATCACTTTTTTCCCTTTCTCTAGTATCTTCCAGGATCCAAATATACTCTTCAGGTGTAGGAGCAAGCAGAAATATAGAATCAGAAGGACTACCTTTTCTGACTTCTCATATGATCTCTTTCTTCTTTGGAGCTGTTCAAGTCATAGCTGCAGGAGAAACAAACATAAGGGCATTAGGCCAATAGGGAGGTATCAACCTTTCCGGTTCAACTTTATAGCAATAGACATTCTGATTGTCAAAGGAAACAAAAAATAAAAGGTAAAGCCATACGGTATTCACACATCTTTGAGCACTAAAAGACCATCTTTTGTTGCCTTAACAACATGTTTAGGAAGAGAGAAAATATTGAAGTAAAATAAGAGGGAGTTATGTTTTTCTCTTGTTTGGGAAAGAAAAGAAAACAAGAAACAAATCAGTAATGAAGGCTATTTTCCTCTCCTAATTTTCTCTCCAAATAGGAGAGATAACGTGAAATTTATGTCACAAAGTTTACTGTTCGTAACATAAATACTCCGTATTATTTCACCTTCATATTACGATATTCGTGACTTCGTGTACCGTCCAAAATTAACAATTGAAATAAAAATAACAATTAAGAAAAAAATCCTCTTCATTTTCCTCCATTCCATTACATGAGATGGTGAGAGGAAACTAGAAAAACAAGGAAATCATTTATTTTCTTCCCTAACAAAGTGCAAGTGTAAATCTATAGAAAAAATCATCCATGAATACTCAGATCCATGTTTCATCATCATCATTGACATCAGCAAGACATCAACGAAGTCCCAGCTACGTTAAAGTTAGAGAGGCATAAATCTTTTGTGACAAATAACTAATTGTTGAAAATTATTTCACAGTACATCCTCAAAACATGGAGAAACTTAAGAGATAGATATAGATAAGATGATCCAATGAAAACAAGAATGTTATCCGTCAGCTTGTCAATAAATTGAAACTAAACTTACACTCCAAGAAGAAAAGGCCAAACTTCAGCCCTGATGCTGGGATCAACACCCTACATATCAAAGCCCAGGAAATGGTCAGCAACTAAAACAGGTTTCAATTATCACCAAAAGATATTTACAAAAATTAAGGTTGGGCCAAGTCTCACTCCACTTCGGACTTTCTTCAGGAACTTAACTCCGCCAGCTCTAAGCCTTCCATCTGATGTGAAAAAACTATTCCATTGCTGGGGCGAAAGGATATGTTTTCTTTTTCGCCTAGACCATGGTGATTTGTGATGACCTCTGCAAGATTTGTTTTCACTAAATTAACACCAAAGTGCAGAAGCTAAACAACAACTATCATATACAGTAGGATATTTCTGGAAAACCACAAATAATACAGAAACAGAAAAGGGGGAGCCAAGAACACCCAAATTGATGTATTTATCAAATTATCAATTTTTAATTAACATTCAGATGTGAAATTAGTTTCTTAGACGGACAACATCCTGAAAGCCAAAGTTGTCAATTGAAAAAACATTTGGCGGTCAGATGAAATTTAACAAGATTCATATGATACCTCAAACGCTACCTTTTGGATCGAACTTGAAGGAAAATTGGGAATTGCTTTATTGCTCATTATATGCAGTTGGGTAGAGTAAAAAAAGAAAATTACGAACTTAAGAGAGTCCGTGTCTGTGTGATCAAGATCTCAATTATGAACTGCGAAGTGAAAGAACTTAACTTTACTAAGCAAAGTAGATAAAGAGAAAGAGAGACTGACCGATCAGTAGAAGAACAGGCAGCAGGTGATGAGGAGGCCACTACGAAGAGAACCGATCTCAACTGAACCCAAGAAGTTGATGCGGATGAGGATGAAGATGAAGACGGTGAAGGTGAATTGGAAGAAGCCTGATTCCGTTTGAGGGATTTCATCTACTTGCACAGTTACTTTCTCTAGCACAACTCAAAATATCTACCAAATCTACAGATTCCTAGGGTTTCAATTTTCAAACTGCCATTTTTTCAAGTTCCCAACAAAAGAACCCCTCTATGCTTGTTGGTAATTTAAACAGTTGCGCAAAAGACGGCGGGGGCCAAGGCGAGATCAGCGAGGCGACGGCTACAGTATCATCCGGGAGCCTTGTTTCCTTCCAGAAGCCGCCAGTTGCCGATGATACCTCCGCCGACAGCTTCAACCGAAGAAGCACCGGAGACAGGCATAAAGGCGAACAGAAAGAGGGCGATGACACCCCTGCCGGAGCTCTCAGATGCACCAAGCTGAAGCGAATGGATTCTACTGCACCATAGAAAGTAGGAACCACTCAGCTGAACAAAGGCAGCATTTGCTTCCTTCAACTGCTTTTACTTTACTGTTCGGAATCCGCTTTTTTCCTTTACTTTGGCGATTTGTTTATGATTTTATCGGGTTTTGTATTTACAGTCTTATCCCATGAGTCTCTTTCTTTGTCTCTTCTCTCCAATCACTCGCTCTTTAGATTTAGGTGGGAGTGCAGTTAGGGAATGGGTCTGGGTTTGTTTGATCTGATTCTTCCTCTCTCTCTAAGACTCAAAAAAGTAGAGACGGGCATAGTGAGAGAGATGATCCAGAGTCTTGACTCTTTAGACGATGGACACCCACCCACCCACCCACCTTTTCGAAATTTAAACACCTTTGTTTTTCTTTAAACAAAATATAAACAGCCAAGTCTCTCTTTGTATTTTCTTTTGGGCGACAAGATCGCTATCGCTCTTAATTAATATCAGATTTGTTGTTTGAAACCAGGTTAATCTACTACCTATTTGGTGTTGGAAAATAGTAGTATTTCAAATGAATAAAATGTTATGTTCTTTAATTATTTATCACACACTAATATATTAATAAATATTTAAACATATTATACATAGTAAATTATAACTATAATGAAAATGGAGGAAGTTTTGAACGTTTCAAGCTAGGCTTGATCCTATTGTGATTATTAATTGAAATAAACATGCTTTAATGCACATTTTCCATTGAGCTCTAATAAAAAACCGTTACAAGTTATTGATTTTTTGATTAATATGCATTAATGAACCTTTTGTATTCTCCTTCATTTTAAAACCGTTGCTAACTTTAATTATTATTAAAGTTATATTTACTCCCTAACGTTTCATTCTTTTCATTGGAGTTTTATGTATGTATATATACATGCTTGCATGGAGCTAGTAGGAGTGTGGAATGAGCTTTAGCTTCAAAATTCATTTGTTCTTGTTTTTAAAGATAAAGAAAATATTACTCTTCATATTTAGTAGCTAGCAAATAATATTTTCTGCCATATTACTCTGCTGGATTAATATATTTATTCTACTCTCGTTGTTCTGTTACCGGCTTACGCCGAAGAGCTCGTTTTATCTTGGGGAAAGGTTTTCGCTAGTCGGAAATACTTTCTTGAGGACAGCGTTTACGCGACTCGAGCTATATTATTTTCTAACGCATTTTTTGCAGGTTTATCCGGCCAATTTCCTCCAACATTTGGTTACCCTTTGGTTAAACAGAGTCGCAGCCCTGAATCGCATCGGCAGAGCTAGGTGTTAGATCCCGACTCACCCCATTTTTTAAAAAGTATTAATTACGGAGTATTAGTGTAAAAATTTTGCATAAAAATTTGTTTGATTTTTTTTGTATCTATCCAACCCGACCCAGTGCCTGATTATGCCCAGCCCATAGGAAGAAGTTACAAGCGAAATTGTTTTAAATATGAATAAAAATGTTCTGTGTTAACTTGTTTTCAGGATGTTTCCGTGTGCACATCCTGAAAGACGGAATAAAAATGTTCCATGACAACATCCTCAAAGCCAAAAATAACATCCTGAAATATAATAAAAATGTTCTGTGTTAACTTATCTTAATTAACATTCAGATTACATAAAACTTTTTTGTCATAACATGATTGTCAGTGTACATTTCTGACATTAATTTGGCAAAATCGTATGTCATCAGCCAAAAATATGGAAAGTAAAAAATGCTAAGAAATCAGAAGTCAAAAATTCGAAAATATAGAAGAATAGAAACATGAAGAAGAAAGAGAAGGAGAAGGAGAAAGAAAAGGAAGCAAAAAATTGATTAGTATTATGCACATATAATTTTTACAAACTTGACAATCCTATTTTAAAATTTCACAACGTTTTTATTCGGTTATTCCTGTTTCAGAAATTTTGATAATTGTGATAATTGTTTCAACTCCGTACTTAACTTTCTCTCCATTAAATCAAACACATGCAATACTATGTTCATATGTAATTAATTAGTGTTGTGCACACGGCATGGCCAATGTGAGTTTTTAATACGAAATCAGAAAAAGTGTGACCCCCGTTCCATGTATTAATTAAAAGTTAATGCATCTAAGGAAGAGAAAACATACCTAAGATGAGCCAGTAGTTAGAGTGTTATTTATAATGCATGTGCTGGTACTAATTGAACTCACATATATGTTGATATATTTGTGAACATTTGCACGTATTTTAGTTACTCCTTAAAATTTGTTGTACTAATGCGTAAATATTGGTAAATCATTAATTAAAAATTGGTGAATTTGTAACATGATTGAATTTAGAAGCTAGGTGGTAAGTAGTGATTGAAATTAAATTAGGACTCCACAAGAATAACCAGAACCCGCGTAACTCACCGACCCAACCCTACCCGACCCTATTTTTTAGGGTATTTGATTTTAAAAAATATACATGGGTTAAATACGTATGAACTCGCACCTAATGGGTAGGGTTGCGGAATTGAAATCTCAAACTTGATAGTAGCCGACCCGGCCGAAAATTCATTTTGTTATTATTATGCTACAATGTTTTCTTGGATAATTTCAATTTAAGACCAATGTGCTCTATCAATGACTTTATGATATTACAGTTATAATTAAACGTTTACTATTTTGACTAGGTGATTATTATATATTTGCGTTTGCTTCTAAATGAATTTCCTTTATGGAAGGATGTTTTAATACTATTACCCAATCTTTTTGCTTATAAATGATACTTGTATTTGTTTGTGTGTTTTGGAAACAAGTTAATCGAGTTTCAAATTGGAAACCATTGGTTTCCCACATTAAAAAGGCAAACCGAAGTGGTTTTTTTTCAATACCCGACCCTACCCGACCCGTTCATGCATGGTTTGCCAATTTATATAGCATACCACGGGTTGATTAATAGCAAGTCGAACAAACTGGGTAGGCCCAAAAAATATAGCAAACCCGACTCAACCCGCCCGATGTGCAGCCCTAATTGAAATAAAGGTGACTTAACAGATTTCAGTATGTAAGAGACCGTTTGGCAACACTGGTTTTGGGCTTATCAGTCAACTTTTTCACCAAACACGTAACTTTTGCTTCCGTGCGCTGAATTGTGTAATAAACAAAAAAAGTAATGTTGGAGTTACTTTTGTGACTGTATTGGCTGAAGTTACTGCAGATGACCATTTTAGCTATTTTACATTTAATTTTTTCTTTGATTTATTAATAAAATATAGTTATTTCTTAAATCAACAGAATCAGCCAATGTAGCCTCTTCAGCCAGAACTTCATAAATTTCAGCAGAATCAGCCAAATCAGCGATTTTCGTGCTACCAAACAGGCTCTAAGTCATGAAGAATCTGATATCCTATCGTTCATGTACGTACTTGCAATAATTTACGTTTTGATGTTCTTTGAGCATATCCTAAATTTTTATATTTGTGAAAAGTTTATGTCAACCATGTTTGATGGAGATTAACTGATAAAACATGAATAATTTGTACTCCCTCTGTCGCGGAAAGGTTCGTCAAATTGACTTTTCTTGCTCAATGATAACCAACTTTGACCAATGATATTTTTTAATACGAAATTATTTAGAATATGAAAATTATATCAAAATTTTCCTTATTCTAAATATTTTCATAAAAGTATAAAATTTATAGATTATATACAAATATAATAATTAAAATTATTGTCTAAAGTATGTCACCATTGATTAAGAAAAGTGAATATGGGCCATATGACGAACCTTTTCGGGGCGGATGTAGTAGTTTTTATATGCACAAAGCAAACCGCAAAACCCATATACTATACCTATGATTCTGGACCAAGGATTATGAATATATACCCCATTGCTCTTTCATTTCTTAGAAGAATAATGAGAGAATATCCTAGATAGGAGAAAAAATGTTTTGAAATTCCAAAATAGGACTATCGTGTTTTTTATTCCGTGAATAGGAGTAAAATTCTGCCAAGTTTGGCATTACTAGGCTTTAAACATGGCATTTTTTTGCCAAACTTGACAGATTACTCATATTGAAGGAATAAAAAACACGATAGTCCTGTTTTAATTTGGAATTTCAAAGCGTTTTTACTCCTATTTAGGGCAATTTCTGAAGAATAATCCACTAGTGTCGTAGTTCAAGTTGACCACATGAAGTCTTGATTACGAACATCGACCGAGCTAGGTCATCATACTAAGACCCGGTCTATCCAAATTTTAAAAAATGTAAGAAATTCATGTAAAAATTTATTAGTTTTGATCTAAATATTACTAATAGATGAATATTGCACAAATAAGTGACCTTTTTCTTTAATTTCTAAAAATGTGACTAATAAGTAGTAAGCTTACTAATTTAACCCTAGTGACATGGCATGCTACACAAACAGGGACACAGTGAAATCCACCACCACCACCTTTGACCGGTGATCGCACCGAAGTGGAGATCCCTGTCAATCAGAATGGCACTGCCCATAGTGACACTGGGCACAAGGACACTGACCACAATGACACAATAATGTCGACCACTATGGTGACTCTGATCGCAGTGACAACGCCACAGTGACCTCGCTGCCACCGTCAGACCAAGCCCCTAGCCCCCCTTCTCACCTTCCCGACTAGCCCCCCTTCCCAGCCCCTCCCCAATTTGAACCCCTTCTCAGCCCCAGCCACAACCCCCTGCACAGACCCACACCCCCAGCCATTAACCCCCCTTCCCCAGCCCTCTCCAGCTCGCCTACCCAAACTCCCATCCCCCAACCCTGACACAAAAACTCTAGCCATGGTCGTAGATCACCTGCAACGACCGTTCGATCAAAGACGACGAATGAAGTGGTGGCACCATGGAGCAAAGACGCTGCACATTTCCCCTCATATCGCACACAAACTGAATAAGAAGATGAGTAGAAGTGGGTGGCAACTTGCAGGCGAATGCGGTGGAGTAGAGCGAGGACAAAGACGACAAAGACGGTGAAGTTTAGGGCGAGGGCAGCGGTGATGATCTACACTTGCTTTGTTACCGACGCGGGGGCAAGGAAGACGTCAGCAATAGTGACAACGAAGGTGAAGGTATAGAGGTGGTGATGATTGTTTGCTCCGATGGTACGAATATGATGGAGGGAGAAGGAACCTTATGCGGTAGTATTTTCGCGGAAGAAGGTTTGGGAGTGGCGCAAGATGGTATCGGAATCGGCAGATTGATTAAGGCTATAGGGGTATGAAAATCAATTGATAGATTTTAAGTCACTTTTTTGTCCAAATGGATTTATGGTTATATTTTTTCTTTAATAACTCTAGGAGTAATATTATGCCATTGTTT